CTGTACAATGAACCCAAACACAATAACTGCAGGAAGTTTGTGTAAAATGAGAGACATGAGCTTTCCTGATTTTTAGGGAACTTTTTATACAATTCTCTCTAAGTCTCTCTGTATTATGTATTTTTATTTCTAGTTTGAACCATTGCAACTACTTAATATAGCCCTTTTTGACAAATACAGTGTTTTAGTCTCTCTGATGCTTGGCCATTTTTTATTAGCTCTTTGGTTGTTTTAACTGCAACTTTTCTAATGCAGGACGAGGCTGTTCAGTAGAAAGGGAAGGCTCTGTGAATAAAGCTTGTGTTTAGTTTAGCTCTTAAATAATAATCTAAACTTTACAAATTAATTTAGTTTTTTTTTCACAGAAATAAACAAAACTCATACTTATAGGCCTACTGTGTATCCAGGTTGGGAACTATTGCTGTAAATGCAATGCAAGCCACAAACATTTCAGCAAAAGCTACAATATGCAGCAACTGAGCTATGACGGAAATGTGTTGTGATCCTCCTTTTAAAGTCAATGTGAATTAGTTAGTGTTATAGAGGAATTACCGCCTAATACATACAGAAGTTAATTAGAAAGTCCAACAGAAATTAAATTTAGTCATAAATATATTGTTAACAGTTTTTTATAATTAAAAAGAAAAATGGCATTTGGGAAGTACTTATAATTTACAGGTATGTTTAAATGCTGTTTAATGGGCTTCAGCCGAGGAGCAAATTTTTTAGCCTGAAACTCATGCAAACTTTTTTTTCTACCTCGGTGAATGTGTGTCCATGTTTGTACAGATAAGGAGGAGACTTTACCATGACAGCTAATGTGGTTGTTGAGTCTGTGGCTACTGTGCAGCTGCTGTCTGGCTCAGTGTGACCATCTGCCTATAACAAAACACTGACACTACTGCTGTAGGCAAAATTTGATTGGCTGTATGAAATAAGGCCTCCATCTACACTGTCTTCAGCATTTCATGATTAATTAGTATCTTTTTGTATATAAAGAGTTTTTAACTGGCTTTGAAATTTAATTCTGTTGCCTCTGTATGACCTACATAAGCGAGAAGTGAGAAGACTATTTCTATAGTTATTACTATTAATCTGCCTGGTCAGACTCGGTCGTTTTCCCCTTAAAATCAATGAAACGAGGCAGTAGAAACCTCTACCGCTGCCACAATCAACGTTGTAGGGGCTTTAAAGCTGCAGTTATATATATTTTTATATGAACCATGGACAATTTTTTTTTTATCTAACTCTGTGGTTCCTCTCAGCTCTATAAACCCATTTTAGTGTCTTTCAGCTAACTGCTTTGTTTTTATGGCCCCACAACTTGGTTCAGTCATCACGCTTTCATCAACCTTGTTTCGGGCAGCAACAGGCAGCTGTTTTCAGTGTAAAAGCTTTGATAAACCCACTGTATGCCACCTGCCCAGCACCAAACAGCAGACAGACAGAGTTAGCAACTAGCTGGTGAACATATGTGGGGTACTTGGCAGCTGAGGATACAAAAATTGGCCTCAGGAGTTGGTCAAGACCAGAACAAGGCTAAACGGAGAGTGCCTTGGAAACATGATTCCAAATGAACATTAATGTTGGATTTATGAATGGGTATCAGATTGCTAACATTGCTAACATCAGTCTGCCATTAAACCAAGGCAGACTGCAGCTTTAACTTGTACTGTATTTATGTCTGTTGGCAAAATGGGGACCACTCCAGTCTGGATGCATATGTTCATGATTACTTAGTTCCAACTTTCTACTTTAAACCTTCAAAGCTGAATGAAACCAGGTTTTCTGAAAATAAGCCTGACCTGCTTGAATTAAACTGATTTTATCAAATTGTGGACCAGTTCCCCGAGTACGGTTCGAGCAAACGTTAACAAAAACACATAATGGACGTACCTCTCTAATGACAGCCAGGTCATCCACTCCATTCCAGTCTGATTCGTAGACGTCTCGCAACGTCTGGGACAGCCGCTTGGATGCATCATGCAGGGCTGTGGAAAGGATCAGGATATTGCAGGACAAAAAAGAAAAGAATCAAAATATAATCATGACTCCATAAGGATTGGGTTATCATCTAGCATCAGCAGCGCATTGTGCTTGTATTGTTTTTAGGGTTTGTGGGAGTGTTGCTACACCCACTCCCGCAAAAGGTCAGAACAACACTGGTTTCCTGACTAGAGCAATAGCTGACAACACGAGAAACACAACGGTTTCTTGCACATGAATCACATATGCAATGCTGAGTCTGCTGTTTTCACTGCAGGACTTTTATTTGTTCTTGTACAACTTGGCAACGCAGACAGAATTGCAAAAGTCAACACAGGATCCAAGAATAGAAGAAAATCCTCACTTCCCTATTATTTCTCCTCAGCCAACAGTGGCATTCTGTTCACACTGTGGATCTGCATGTGCTTTCAAAACGTACCTTTCACTGCTGCGTGGTAGGCTTTGACATCTTTAAACAACCTGTTTCCATCGATCTGAGTGCAGAAGCAAAACACAAAGCAGAAAAGTTCAGTTACACCCAGGAGCAGTATCTCTATGGCTGATCTGACCCTTAATGCTTCATCATTTCCGTAACGGCCTCAAATGATGAAATCAGTGTGCTTCTTCTTGCAGCATAACTTTTTCTGCATCAACTTTGAAACTGCATTTAGTCCGCGACACCTAATACTCTCACTACAATATGAAGTTTAAATTAAATAACAATCACATTTGTTGTGGTGAAGGTAGCGGTGAAGTGAAAGCAGTGTCTTGTTGGGGTGTAGACTTCCTTCCTGTTGCTCCTTGTGAATATGTGCATTTAATGCAACAACTTCATGATCCTTGAGCAGCTTAAAATGAAGATTTTGTTTAACAGCAGCAGTATGGCCACAAGTGGGTTACAGGATAACAATGAATGCTAAAACAAGCAGAAGTGTTGCGATTCAGTCATTTAAAGCAATGTAAATGTCAAGTTTGCTTACATTAGGACACAATGGTCATAGCAGACCAAATAGGGCTGTAGCAACACCTTAGTGTATTCATGGGTAAGGGTGCATTGTATTGTTTTTTAACCAAACCTTTCACTAGTAAAAAGGAAGATTGTGTTATTTCCTTTGTCAAATGTTACATTATATTGCTTAAAATAAAGTTGTTAATTCATTAGGATGTTGGTATGTGAGAAACCCATAAAATAGTTTCTTTAATAGAAGCACACACTATCCTGTTTCTTTTAGTATTAAGGGTACTGTTTGTGTTCAGGTATCTAGAGGAGCCATAACAAGCAGAATATCTGCAGAATTGATAAGAAAAACCTGCATCTTGTTTCAAGTATTTCCTGTTTTCAAGGCCAAGCTGATCGTCTGAACTTGTGGGTTGGCATCTAAACAACAAAAACAAACCCCAGTTCTTTTCTTTTTTGTCAGATTTTGCAGTGCTCCATTTAACTAGAGGTTTTTGTAAGTAGAGTAAAATGAGCTGTTTAACTATAAAAGCATTAAAGCAAAAAGTTCTGTGAGTCATGCAGTGAATAGCAAAGGACTACCGTGTAGGGAGACCATCTCATGTTAAAAAGGTTACGTGTGGGAGTACCTGTTGTTTGTTGAGGCTCTGGAAACACAGCTCAAACTGTTCATCCTTGGTCTCCATTGTTTTGCCCAGTTTCTGAAGGACCTGAGAGAGGACAACCGTCAGAGTCAGCTTCAACATTAGATAGACAAAGATTTCTAGCATTAGTGATTAGATAGAAACTAGTTAAAGGGACATTGCAACCATTTTACACATTAAAGTGTGTTTAAACGTATTCGAGAGTACAACTGCATATGTGAAAAAGGTTGTAGAACACCTTTATTTGTGGCTTCAGAGGTAACTTTGTGAAAGGGCCTCAAGTGATGTCACATGAGTCAATGTCAGTTGGGGGTGAAGGCTACAAGATTGTAAATGAAAAAAACCTGTGGATGTGGCTTTAAAATGAAATGAGCTTACCAGACCTCTGCAGGCCGTTCCTCAGCTCGGCTCAGAGCTGGCTTAACCTCTATGTGGGCTGCTAAGTTGCGAGAAATTGCATACAGACATGCAAAAGAATCTTTTTGGTGGCGCAGATACAGCGTCACCATCTGGTTTGTCTACTAGAGAACACAAGCTGATTTTTCAACAAACGTCCCGCAATTACTTAGATATGTCGTTATTAGATTTTATGATTACAAACACTTTGGGAGTTTTAAAACACCTGATGATGTATTATGAACACGATATGTATTGAACTGAGCATTCTGCAGTTGAAAAAAAGAAAAGAAACAAATCCTCTTGTCAGCGCTCTCTAGTGGATAAATTCTGTAATCGTGACACTGTCTCTAAATTACCTCAAACATCTCTTTGGCATTTCTGTTCTGCACTTTCTTGTTACTTACTGGTCAACATATATGCTGATATCGATGTATCTGCAATAAGCTACTGCCACGATACATTGAGATACATTGGCTGCTGATTTAGCGGCTTTGCACTTTTAGACCAAAGCTCCTCATACAGTGCCACATACTCCTATGCCTCCCCTAAACTAGACACACATGGCTAACTATTACAGTGCCTTTCACAGTCCACTGCTTGCAGCTGTTTGAAAGCCTGAATACCACGTCCAATGACCTTTAAATCTGCAACAAAGGCTCTCATTATCATGTCTATCCTCCCATTTTCCACGATAAAAAAAAAAAATCCCCAAAATAGGCTTCATCCTGTAGTTTCAGAGTACATGCAACCGTCTGTAGCTGCTGTTTTTTAGGTGGAGCAGCGAAATCAAACAAGTCAACCACAAACTGAGTGAGAAAGGCTCAGCAAGCGAGAGGAAGTGCACAGTCAGGAAGTGGTAGCTTTTGTGTCCGCACACAGCTGTACAGCGCTCAACAACACCATGATGCTCAGGCAGGGAAAGTCCATGCTACTGTTTTATAGTGCTGTACAGCCGAAGGGCCAATCATTCAAATGCAGATAGTTGGAACATACAGCAGACAGGGCTCAGATCATGTGCTTTACGGTCTTGTACACTGGACAGTCTGTGCAGAGAGCGCTTCCTCCTCTCTCATGGTCAGTCTCACAGGTTTTGTTCCACTTTGTCATGATGAGGTCCAGCAAACAGGCTTGACCTGATTTCATCCTTTTACATTGGAGCATCTTATTATGAGTAACAGTTTGGTACAGAGCTACGCAACAGGACTAGAGGTAGGGAAAGTACCAGGAGCTACAGAGCAACATATTTCATAAGCAATACAGCTATTATGCCAAGTGTCTCAGGGAAAATAGTTAATGTACTGGAAGCTTCACCCACTTCACATATGAATCATACTGCTTCCAAAGAAACTCTGAAGAACAAAGGTCTGTTTAATCTTACAGCAGGGCTCCAAATGAGTTCATACCTCAGGATATAAAGCTGGGTGTATGTCGTGGCTTACCAAGCTGATGACAGTGCTTCTACAGTAACAGTTCTGAACATAAACAGACCCAGTGGAACTTAACGAAGTGGATGCCCCCGGCTCACCTTCTCCTGGGCTCGGTTCACAGACTTCTGGACCCGTTTGGCGAGGAATCCAGCTCCAGCTTGAAGTTTTGGGCCCATCTTATTGTCTGCCATCGTCAATTTTCTAACTCGGTTTCTCCTCAACAAGCGCGGTCCGCCTCCAGTGTGCTGCTTCCTCCTGAGGAACTGCCTCACTGCGGCGCCGAGCGTGGCTTCGGTTCAAGGCGACGGAGGTGGAGCAACAGTGTGTCAAGACACAGGGAGACACACACACACACACAACACACAGAGAGAGAGAGAGAAAGGTGTTGTTAAACCCAGCTGGGAATCAAGTCCTTCATAACATCATCATCCACCTCCTCCTCGTCGTCATCATCAGCGGGACTCTTGTTGGAACTCGTTAGAGGAATGTCTGCGGAGCGTGGCTGCGTGTCCCGATGTGTTCCGCTCTCATCGTGTACACTGTTGCTAAAGGTGGAAGTCACCCAACGACACTCACCTGGAAATTATGTGCGCAGATTGCGTGTCTCTGATGATGCGGACCTGATGCAGCAGCGTGACGTGGGCAGGGGAGCCTCGGGTCAGGTACTGATTGACGTGCTGCCTTCAAATGGGCCTCAAAAACTCTGAAATAAAAGACTTTTTCTCAAACCCCTGTCAGTTTATTGTAAAATATCTACTTAACATGTATGGCATACAGAATGATCTGATACTGATGTAGCTATGATTGCCCTTTTTCATAGCTCTGATAATGATATCATGTTGCCTGGTTGCTGAGTTGGCCGTTGTTGACACATCTGCTTCTAATAGTAATATGACTAACAGGTCAATGTCCAAACCCATGTGGCATTCTTCACTTTAGCGTGGACATTGTTTTAAAGCAATGTGCGCTACCACAGACATTACAGCTGAAAGTGTGTAAATGGCAGTATGAGTGGAAAACACACTCATTATTTTGATGTAAAAGGAATTGAAATATGTAAAAGTGAGGGTTAGGCCTACAGTTCATTACACATACACAATACAAGCTTTTAAATGTAATTCAAGATGACCGCAAACTGGGGACAAAAGCCATGTCTCCAATTTGGAAAAAGTAGATTTTAGTCAGTTAAGTCTCCAGAAAACGAATGTGGGTCTATGTAATGACCCCAAACGTGAACTAAGTAAAGGTTTGTGTGTGTGTTTGTATTTTATTTTATCAACATTATACAAAGAATAAAAGAGAAGCAAAGATTAGTTCATATGTCACTGAGATTATATATTTGATTGTTTTCTCCTTTACTCATATAGATCAGTTTACTCAGCCTGCAAACAGTTGCATAATGTCTTCTGTGGCTCTGAAATTTCTAAAGTTGACAATAATATCTCCATTTGGGCCTGAGGCGTAAAAAAACTAAAGGGCTGTGTGTTGGAGGCTAACGAAAGATGCTATCAATTTGCATTCTGGGAAGGATCCAGCATTTTAGGGACTTGACCCATATTTTTTTATTTTTTTATTTTTATTTTATTATTTCCTATTCTAATCTAATAATTGATTAAAATTTGGCTATATTTTATGTTCTATGGGTGTCTAGCATGAAGGAACTCCAATTTTGTTACGCAACCGTGTGTTGTATAATGAAATATAATGAAATAAATTACTTTGATCTTTGATTAGGGCCTAAAAGTCAGGATACCTCTGCTACTTTGCTTTCGATCATAGTTTTTTATTAACTGATATCTTATCCTCCAACATTATGAAAGTAAAGTATCACTGGAGAATCCCTTTTTTTTTTTTTTGACTCATTCGACTATTTTGAGTGACATTGTTAACAATAAACAGACAATAGGATTTATAAGCAGGGGTGTAGTAGTAAATACAGAGGGGGGTAAACTGTGGTTAACCTTGTTTCCCCTCAGTGATGATTAATCTGAAAATGGATGCGTAAACTCTCAGCCTCATTTCAAAGAGGTGGATAAACTGAGATACCCTCATCACTATTCCATTTAGTTGTTAAGTGCTTTCAGTAATTCATCCAGCTCATCCAATCCATCAAGGTCACACTAGGCCCGTAGTCTTTGGTTCCGTCAGCAAATTTAAGTCTAAGTTAAAGATAAGAAAATACTGAGAGCCCCTGAGTAACACGAGCTGAAGGTTGTATAGGAATAGGAATATGCACTGCACCTGTTAAATGTCATGATCAACGGTGACCGGCAGATGGCGCTAGATAACAGACTATTTACTCATGAAGCAACACAGACAAGTAGAGGTAACGTAAAGACAGAAATCTGAAATTGTCAGAGTTGCCACATTATCAGTTATCGATTGTGTTGCTATTAATCCTAAACGTTAACACCATGCTCTTCTTCACTTCACTTATTTCTTAGTTTAGGATAAGCTGTCTTCCATAGGCGCCTGTAGGCCCCCTTCTTTCTGTTATCGTCGCACCCACTAGTATGAGCTCTATATTTTCCTATGTAAAGGCGGGTCTAATTAAATACTTGGGTTTTAATTAGAATAGAGTAATAATAGTTTTAGTGCTGTACGGCATGTAAATAGGCAACCCTGTGACGTTTTTATAGGTAGGTGCGTTTTGAAGCACCGGATTGACCGCCCGGGCGGGGTTCTTCTTGTTGTCAATGAAAAGCAACGGCATATGCGGTGCACACGGTGGATGTTACCGAGTGCACCCAAACTAGCGAGGCAAGAAATGGGGAAAGACGTTTGGCGCGGTCGGTAGACTAGAGGCTGACAGCGGAGGGAGAGCAACCGAGGACGAGCCGCGGTTCATCAGCTTTCTAGTGTTTCCTCTTGGAGAAAGGGCAGACAGAGATTAGTACATTGACTGGGGACAGAGTTGGTGCTTTTTAATTCGGGTTTTTCCTCTTTCTCTCACTGGCCGTCTGTCGAAGCTTGCCCCGCGCAGGCAGACGGAAATACCTTGAAAATGCCTCCCATCGAAAAGGACACCGGGAAAAATGAACTCAAATCCCGGATACAGCAGCTTATTGACTCCAACCAAGTGTTGGTTTTCAGTAAAAGCTACTGCCCGTTCTGTGTCAAGGTAAGGTACTGTCTGTCGAAGAGGGAGACCTTGCTTATACCGGTCGGAAACTTCCATCTTCTCCCGCGAAGTACACGGGCTTGGTCTAATTGCTGGCGTCTACGTTAGTTAACGCAGCCAGCGACTGCGGTTCCTCAGCGGATGAACACTATAAATTAATATAAATTAACCAGATTACATACAAATGTTAGCTAACGTCAACCCGCCTAACAGAGTTTACCGTAGGTTGATACTGGGGTGAGATATTATCAGGTCACAAACGCGTTATGTGGTCGCATTTCTAAGAAAAGTTCATAGCTAACTTAGCAACATAATTAGACCTGCAGTGTATTCGGCACACATCCTGTTCACAAAGCAGCACTTGTTTCTGTGAGTGAGCTGCCTTCCGCCTCCATAAGATACACACAGAGGAGGGTATCTGACAATGAGCACAACATTTTAAATGATTTGTGTAGTAACTTAAGTTAGTATCTGCGCTTAAAGCAGTTTTAACTCGATGTTTTGCTAATAGGGAAGAGCTTTTTGTTTCTTATACCCTGTAACTGGTGAAATTGATGAATAATTGTTTCACATCTGTGTCATTGTAGGTGAAAGACTTGTTCAAAGAGCTGAAGGTCGAGTGTAATGTGGTGGAGTTGGATCTCATAGGTAAGATGGAGATGTTTTGTCTCTTACAGTAGAATATTGCCTGCCATGTTTCAAAAAAATGTGTCGCAAAGGTCAGTGGCAGGTTGGAGATACTGGAGTCTAAAAGATACAATAAACTTATAACTTAGAAAAGCAAGATGACGTTCAGTCCATTGTTTCATTTTTATCAAAACTCAATATGGCACCCAGGACTGAAAGAGGTTTTTCCTCCAGTACAATGTTCTTTTGTTGATAATAGTAACATCTTAGCTCACATTAGCATCTATAAGCAGTATACGAACATTGAACAAGTGTTTGATAACAGACTATAATGTGGTTATAAGCTGATATCAGTGTTTATTAATGTCTTTGTAATACATGAATGAACCTGTACACATGTCCCTGTGCCTACAGCTGTATATTAATATGCATTTGATCCAGTAGGTTTTCTGCCAACACGTTTGAAAGCGGTTCTGCATTATACAGTCGGGATGTTGTTACCTCAGTCATTTGCAGCAGCACAAAACATGCTGAGTCACTCACTGAAGATATCTTGGCCCCATGCCATATCTCAGTAAACTCAGCCTCTCTGCTGTGTATTTCTGTCAGTCTCCGCTGTATGTGGAAGGCAGTAGGGATGAGAATTGATAAGATACCAGTACTATTATTGATTTGGCTTATTGGTCCAATTCATTGTTGATTTCCTTATTGATTCTGGATCAATTGTCTGTGTGGAATTCAGTGTCAGTGCAGGTGTTGTATTATCTCTGAGTCTGAACACAGTGGAGAAAAAGAGTAAAGTTACAGTAGTTTGAGTCTCTCTGTGAATGAGGCCGCGCTTACGCAATGCACAGCTGCCAGAAACCATGTTGGCAGTGATAAAGGGAATTGATAAGATCAGTGGCATACAATTACCATGGATCTGACAACTTGAACTGGTTCTCAATCCCGTCCCTAGAAGGTAGTATATAGAGATGGTTAATCAGTGGATGGACAAACCTAATTAACTGAGATTTGACAGCAATAAAGTTCAAGTTCACAACATTTGAATGTTTGACATTTAAAGAGTCATATCTTGCTGCTAAGGCAGAACAGAGTGTGTCCACAGTGAGTGAAGGTAGCTCCATTATGGCAGAAATCCTAGTCATGATTATTTTTTATCTATTGACTTTGGAAACATCATGCATTTATTGAACTTAGAAAAACTAAACTGAAAATAAAATCAAATTAGTCACGAAGCCCCAGGGGAGTGTATACATTTTCCCAAATCTGTTGACGTCATGTTTCCTGGCACAGCTGGTGGTCAAAACATCACCCTCGTATCATTACAACACAGTCTACATTATGCCATGGGTCTGGAAGGTTGATTGGCTAGTGTTCACTAAAATCCTCTGACAGGACACCTGAAGGAAAGATCTGCTTGAACTTCTACATTAGTAAATACACTAAAACATATATCTCAAATCAGTGGGTATATTAAATTGCAGGTAACCATAGCAACAGTGCAGCTTTGTATTACTTGTAAACTCTGACTGGTTAAACATGCAGACTTTTGAAAAGTAGGCGACTATATGAGCACATCGTGTTTGTACTTGAAGGAAGTGGCTATGGTGTAAGCACAGCAATGCAATGAACTCAGTGTAAACCCTCCATGTCATGTCATACTTCCTTTTATTAGTTTTGCATATTGTTTGCGTATTATCAAGCACTCTGTGAGGTGGTACAAATGGTAGCGTATGAAAAGTAGATGTATTGAATGTATGGTTAGTACTCAGCAACCCTGTGAACCTAAACACAAACCCTTCTGTCCAGAGGATGGAACCAACTACCAGGAAATGCTGCTTGAGATGACTGGACAGAAAACAGTTCCTAATGTCTTCATCAACAAGACGCACCTTGGCGGCTGTGACAAAACGATGCAGGTGAGGAAGTGTGTGTAAATATTTGCTGTTCTTTGGTTGCGTTACACATCACTGTAAACGCTGTATGTTTCCTCAGTACATGATCGCCATGAAATGTTGCTCAGTCAGGTGGTTTGTTCAGTTGCCAGAAACTGTAGAAACGGCTGTTTGGTTCAAGTTACATTTGGAGCGAACCCACTAGTTTTAATTTGTTAGAAAAAATGTCAGAAAAAACAAACCCTCATTAGACGTGTGTGACCACAGCGGACAAAGCAGGAAAAGAATGGGTGTAACCAAAAACATCTAGGTGTGCCAAGAGGTCATGCTAGTGAGCAACGTGTGTTCTTTGGGAGGAAATACTGGAAACATGAGAAAATGGCAGCAGTGATGATGCACTCTGAGGTGATGCAGGGAGATGGCGGGCTCGGTAGAGGGAACTCATATTTTGTCTTTGTGTAAACAGCTGCTGGTACGTAGTTGCATGAGCAGGCAGGTACGACATTGAGTCTCAATCAGCTGTTAAACAGCAGCAGGTAGTGTAGATGCTGTGGTAAACTATAATTGCATCTTCCCACAGCTTTTAAGTGTTGACAGGAGCGTACAGTAACCTTTCCATTTGAATACAAGCTATTCGCTCTTTTCATTACAGGAACACGATCTCTAACCTGGAACAGTCTTTAAGGTCTGCCTTTCAGGTTCTGCTTGGTTTTCCACTGTATTTTACCCTCCAGAATGCTTTGGATTGACGTCATTAAAAAAAGTTCAGCTGTGGGGCAGATATCATTGGAGAAAGTGGTGCGAGTACAGATTTTCTTGTACATTTAGGAGAAATGTCAGTATCTTAAATTAACAGAGTCCTACTTGTGGTAGGAGGTCCACAGAATGGAGCAAAAAGAGTGTGTGAGACCAGCACCAGGCCAGCTCCCACTCTGCTAAACAGCTCTCCAGAGCCGGGCACGTCCCTCGGTACAGAGGCACAGCTGCCGGTCCCGCTCTCCCTGCTCTATAACATCAAAAACCACAGGGAAGTGGCAGTAAAGCAACCACAGGGAGAACTCTCTCTTTTTTTTTTTTTTATCTTCAAGAGAAAATCTAAAGATGCAGTGTTTAGTCATTCTGCCTCGCTACCAAGTGGAAAAAGTGGCTCCCTACTGGAAATGTTACATACAAATACAGATGAACAAATTTAAAGACACTTCCACACGGTGCAAACAATCTACAGTTTAAACAGACCAACGCAGGACAATGCAGCATTGAGTATTCTGGATGAGAGTACGGCCTGTATATTGAAACAAATATACTTCAGTGTTTATCTATACACGTGTTATTCATTTTGGTGTTTGTTGTATTGCATAGCAGCTGTTTCATTCCTGAGCAGTGCTGTGATTTAGGTTCAGAAAATGGCCCCCAGAGTGGGAGGAGTAAGGTGGAAACAATAGCAGAACCCTCCATACATGATGGATGTACATATTGATACGAAATTGTGTTCACGTTTCTGTCAGGCTCATAAAGACGGCAGCCTGCAGCAGCTACTGACCGGAGACAATGAAGCTTATGACTACGACCTGATCGTCATTGGAGGAGGATCGGGTGGCCTTGCCTGCTCAAAGGTGACAGAATCTAGTGCAACACAATCAGTGTTTCCTGTTGAAGCTTTATTGTAGTGAATGTTGATCTGTTGCACAAGTTTGGGGTTTTCAGAGAATCAGAATGAAACTAAAGGTAATCCGTAATCAGTAATCAGTTATGTTTAAGCTATTAACTGTTTGTACTCTCATACAGACTGAAGAAACGTATTGTCAATTACAGATTTGTGTAATGTTGCACTAACGTTGGCTCTGTTGACAACAGGAAGCTGCTATGTTGGGAAAGAAGGTCATGGTACTGGACTATGTTGTGCCCACACCCAAGGGAACCTCTTGGGGTAAGTCACTTCCACTTTAGCATACTAAGACCGATACGTGTGACGCAGAAGTTGTTGGAGTGTAATCCGGTTGGTAACTGACCATTTCCGTGCTCTGCTGTATTGATCAGGCCTCGGTGGAACCTGTGTGAACGTGGGCTGCATTCCCAAGAAGCTGATGCACCAGACGGCCTTGCTAGGCACAGCCATGCAGGACGCACGCAAGTTCGGCTGGGAGTTTGAGGAGACAGGTGAGGGCTCAGAGCACCGACCCAGGAGGTCACGGAGGGGTGACATCGCACCGGCTTGCCGCGGTAAATCAGAGGCAAGCCTCATCAGTAGTCACTCTTTGTTGTTCCACTGATTCCACTGATGGCCGTCTGTCTGTACGCAGTGAAACACAACTGGGAGACGATGAAGACGGCAGTGAACAACTACATTGGCTCGTTGAACTGGGGCTACAGGGTGGCACTGAGAGACAAGAATGTCAACTATGTCAATGCCTATGCAGAGTTCATTGAACCACACAAAATCAAGGTAAATGAGTGCTTGTGATACAAAGGAACCTTAAATGTACTCGTACAGGTCTTTAGCTGGGATTGCTGGTTAGGTTCCAGATTTAGGAGACTTGACATACAGGAATTTCTATAGCTAACTGTAACGTAAGGTTTTATATTCAAATAGACTCTTCCTCTTTTCTTGGCCAAGTTGCGGCACCAAAACTAATCTTAATAAGCTGTATGTCTAAAATGGTGTCTAACCTGTTGTGGCAACCTATTTTTTTGGTTGTGTTTGTCTTGGTCAGGCTTGACTTCACTTTTAGCTTCCCTTTTTTGGCTGCCTTTCAGCATAGTTGTTGTTGGTTTTCATACTTGCGATCACACCAGTGGCTGCACCCAAAGCAAATAGATTTAAAATTATTAAAACATTTTTCACAGCACTGACAAAAATATTCTGCTTAATGAGCTTATTGTAGCTCTGTGTTCCTCTGAGCGCCCGCTGCAACATTATCTCAGAGCTGCTGTTTATGTTTTCTGACAGGCAACAAACAAACGAGGGAAGGAGACACTTTACACAGCGGCTACGTTCATCTTGGCCACAGGCGAGAGGCCGCGCTACCTGGGCATCCCTGGAGACAAGGAGTACTGCATCACCAGGTGAGATCACAATGCCAGCTACATGGAGGCTCTCACAGCGTCAGCCCCATCTAATGACATGCCTTGTTCCTGAAAGCCCCACCCAGAGCTCAGTTTCAGACCAGAAGGGGGGGGGGGCGCGGGCGCGTTGTCTCCTGCCGCTCTTACTGGTCTTCTTATGTTGGCATTTTCTCCCACCTCTTTTTTTTATAGTCTTTTTTAACCCTTAGGGTTTCCTTTTTAAAAAAATCACACATTCTGTTTCCTTAAGGCAGCATATATACTGCTGTAAAAATTTTCTTTATTTACAATCAATTATCTTTTTTTCCACCTCTTTACAATTAGTCTTTCAATCTTTTTAGAATTACTCCAGCCTTGAAATATTTCATCCTACTATTTTCAATTTTTATTGTGTTTATCATTATTTTTTGGTGGTATTTTTTAACCCTTTAAAGCTTCCAATATGTTTACACCAACTCCGCCTGTTTCTGGAAAGTCTTCAGTTTGTTTTGAGGACTAACTTATTTTTTTCCATTTTTTGAAGTCCATTTTGCTGGCTTTCTATTCACATTTCATTCTTCATTCTGCTCTTCTACCTCTGAGCGCCTCCTCCGTTTGAGGAATCAGAGTCCTCGAGGAGTGATGAGCAGCCATTTCTTCGCTCTCGGAGCCCACGATTTATTTCAACGCCTCCCTGTGTGCTGTAATGCCTTTGCCATCTCTAAAATGACTACTCCCTTCACTACTGCTTCTATTACTTTCTAGTAACCATGTACTTGCAGTGCCACCAGTCATCCAACAGCCTTCTCTTCTTGAACGAGATCCTAAAACAAAGTCATCGTTTTTTTTTTGGTTTCTCATCCATCTTCAGGAGTTTCCTTTTATTTTATTGTTTTGTTTCATTATTATACGCAGAGTTTTTGGCATTTCTAAGAGAAAAGACTTGTGATATGTTTGTTGACTACACTCACACCATCTACACACTACGGTATGTTTTTTTAGTTTTATGTTAGATAACATGGGATCAAAAATGGCGTTTTGAATGGTTTTCAATGGCGGCAGAAAAACTGCCACAGGAACTTATGTGTGAGTTTGTGGCGTAGCTTAGCCATTTTAGGCTTAATTTAAGGAACTAAGACCAGAATTCTAAACAAAATGCAAAATGAATAACCTTTGGCAAGTTTG